TAAACCCTATATACCCAATATACCCCTATATATCCCCCTTTAAAGGGAACCTAATTATTGGGTACATGGACCCTTTGGGTTACAGCCTGTAGGGCGCGGGCATGGTTGCAGGCTTTTTTCCTGGTCATGACGCAGCTTCCGAGCAGTGAGAAGCTGCTTCGCATCCTGGAAGGCCAGGAAAGTAAGTGAAGTCGAAGCATATAGGGAATTATAGGGTATATATTGGGGTTTTATAGGGGTAATGGAGAAGAAAATGGAAATTACTAGTATATTGGGATTCTAGGGTTTGGGGTTTAGGCCTTAGGGTTTAGGGCTTAGAGTTGAGGGCTGAGGGTTCAGGGTTTAGGGCTTAGGGTTTAGAGTGGCGATGATTTCTCAGCCCGATGACTTCATCCCAGCCAAAACGAAGTGCGTTCACATGGCCGTTCCCCGAAGTTAGGGGTGCCATTTTGGGGGTCCCCGTAATAGGGGCATCAGTGTGAGTATGTTGGTGTCCATATTAGGGTCACTTTATTTTGTGAAACTACCACATAAAGCAAAGGGTCATGCGCACATCTAGTCAAGTCTTCCAGTTCCTCATGTTGAGTAGCAAACATGTTGTTTTTTAGATGGGCTACTTCTCGTGAAATACACTTGGGTTGGAACGAGTATCAGGGAATTGGGAATGGGTGTTTGATTTTCATGCTCAACTGTTCACTGTTCACGTGCCCAAAGTATCAAAGACCTCCCAAACGCGCTCAAGAGCCGAGGGCTTGTAAGGCACAGGCGATGCGAACATAAGCCGCAACACCCTGCAAATACTAGATTATAACGGACACTCGTGGTACAAATTCAATTTTTCAAGGATAAAGGTAACATGTTACCCTTGTCCACCACGCCGCGCGTGAATAACGCTCAGCATCTAAGTAAGTAAGTTTCGCATCATCTGTTCTGCTTTTTGGGGGTCATGGAGCACTTGTTTGGGCAACCCTAAACCCTAAACCCTAAACTAAAGAGAATGAACCTATGCCATGATCTGTTTTTGCGCGGCTGATCCTCTTTCTGTTGAAGATGACTGTGATCCCTAAATACTAGCTTCCATTTTCTTATCCAGTATCCCCATATAACCCCTATAAAACCCCTATAAACCCCAATAAAACCCTATAAACCCCCTATAAAATCCTATAAAGCCCCTATAATCGACTTAAGGGGGACTACCCTCTGTTTGCCTTTGCTGTGCCACTACATTTAAAGTCAGAAAGCCCAGCCTTGGTCATGACGTGGCGCTCCAAAGCAGCGGCTCAACGGTTCCCAAAACTGGGGTTTAGGGTTTAGGAAAACTGGTACTTTTCCAAAATACGGTGATTCCAATCTAGACCTCAAAATACCGTAGTCCTCAACGGTTTCCAAAACTGGTACTTTCCCTAAATAGGGTGTCCCCAATCTAGACCCCAAACTACTGTAGTCCTCATTCCCTAATTTTGGGAAACCCCCAACTAGCTAGCCGGAGTCTCAGGGACGAGGGTGCAGATGCCAGCTATCTCGCCGCTGGTGGCCTTGCCGCGTCCTGCGCAGCTGCAACTTCTTCGTTGTTTTGGATGGCATCCTCGGCGCAACTGCGGGGTCATCGTTGTTGCTGGGCTGCTGTTAAGGAACTTATATTAAGTTACTATAACAAGGAAACCTTATTTCGTGCTTTATACATACCCATCATGGTAAGTTAATTTAAGTTCCTTAACAGCAACCCAGGTAAACAAGACAGTGCATTCATGGTTCGAGGGGGCTCTGGAAATATGGAGAACTCTCAGGCGGATGGCAGGTGAGGCTTTTGGAGGCAGCCCGGCGATGATGCTCACTGCCGTGTACTGCATTCAGCCTCTGGCTGATGATCTTATGTCAAGGTTGCAGGCCTTCAAGGACTGTCAAGACCCAGCTCATCCCTGTTCAATGGATCCTATTTTGGAATGGGTTGATCGTGAAAGCTTTGACCGCAAGATGAACAGCTTGTTCAAATATGGCTTCTATTACGCAGATTTTCACTTGGATGAGGAATTTCGGGACACCGTCTATATGGGAACACTGTGGATTCGGCAAGCATGTGAGAGGGTCTTACGGAAAGATTGGCCAAACGCACTTGGGCTTTGTGCAAGAGGCGGTCCTGACCTGGCCATCGCTTCACAAATCCAGCAGCGTGCACATATTCTGAAAGAAACGAGGTACTCCAGTGGTATCCATTTTCCTTCTTTTTTTTGGGAGGGTCTCCTTATTACTAAACCTGAACATGGGGAAAAAGGGTAGCCTCATTATTAAGGGATTCCTGGAGAACCTAGGAATACATCAATAACAACTGCACTGAGTGCGCCTTGGCCGGTGCATCCAGAGCTTGCGATCTCGACCTCGTCAAGAGTCTATTGGCGGGAAGAGCAGCAGTCAACGGAGTCATAGCTAAAGCATCATGTGAGCATGAACTTTTTGTTGATCCTCTCCACCCGCTGTTCTTCGCTTGCATCGGTGGGCGCTTGCCAATCATGAAGCAGCTAGTGGAGCACCGCGCCATTGTAGATGGTGAGCTTGCGTCCTTCTTGCACCACACGAAGCTTACTAAAGATACCAACACATTGCAGGTGGCGCGTGAGATCACAGCCATTCATGCCGACGTGAACAGCGTGGATGCGTGTGGCCGTCGGCCATTGCACTTTGCGGCGGAAAATGGCTGGGGAGAGCTTGCTAAACACCTCATCACATGCAAAGCCAACCTGAACCTTGGCACGGCACAAGACTTGTCACAAACACCTTTCCACACTGCATGTTTTCATGGCCAGCTTGACTTGATGGAGATACTCTTTGAAGGCGGTGAGAGCCTTGACTTGGCGAGTCTGCACGTGGCATTACATCGAGCTAATTCACCAGCAGTCGTGACCAAACTTGTGCAGCTGCGTGCAAACATAAATAGCGAAGGCCCAGGAGCTTTCAGTGCACTCCACCGCGCTGCTGGTGAGGGCTCGACGGTCCTTGTTCAGCGTCTCATCGACCTCCGGGCCGACGTGCAACGCCATGCTCACCCTGACGAGTTTTTTTGCAGCCCCTTGTGGTATGCTTGTGATAGAGGTCATCAAAATGTTGTGAGGCAGCTCCTTCAATGCAACACAGAGAGCGTCAAGACTGCATTTTGGACTGCCCTCACGTCTTGGACTTACCTCACTGCTGGCCGACGGGATGTGATGGCGCTTCTTGTCCAAGAAGGTGCCAATGTGAATGAGAGGAATGAGCTGCACGGCTGGACTCCTCTTCAGTGGGTGTGTTTCAAACTCAATATGGAGAGCGTGCAAGTGCTTCTCAATCACCGTGCGGCTCCGAACATCCAGGACGTGTACGGACAGAGTCCGCTTCACTATGCTTCTTGCTACGGGCATCTCATTTAGTCCAGATGCTACTTGCTCATAAGGCAGAGACATTGCGTGACAATTTCGGCCACACTCCCCTTGACCTTGCTCGGGCTTGGGCTCAGGCGGATCTGAGAAATCAGCGACGTGCCGAGGTGATGGACCTGCTGCTGGGGTGGTCCCGGGACTGAGTCTGCATGGGAGTTAGTGGTGTTGTGATGTAGATCTCCCATGATGCTTGCGCAGGACACTGACAGATGCAGAAAACAACTGGATATCAGCCCCATATGGTGGTTTCCAGAAATACATGAAATAGATGTCCCGCTTACCCTAAAGGTGTCCCGCTTATGAAGCCCTTAGGTTCTATAACCATTCCTCCAGGGATCCACAAAAAGGGACCCCCAAATTTTGGAAAGCGCATATCTGGAAGTTCCGAAATGGAGCCCGGGCCCCCAAACAAGGGGAAGCCTGACCGCCTCCTTACAGACTTTGGGGCTTATAGGCCCTACCCTAAACCCATAAACTCGCTATGGCTTAGGCGCTCCAAAAAAGGCCTGCGTTTTGGGTTTTAGGTGGGCTATAATCTCAACTCCTTAAAGGGAATTATACATGGCATTATATAGGAGTTTACTATAAGAGATATTAAAGGGGATACTAGGAATTTGGAAAATTGAGACTATGGCTCAGGTTGGCTCGGGGAGGGTACCTTTTCAGAGGACAGCCCCTGTGCTTTGGGGCTGCCAAAGCTTTATGTACCGCAAACTTTATCCGCAAACTTTAAGCCCCGGACCCTATACCCTCAAAACCCAAGTCCTGCACTCTAAGCCCCTCCGAACAAACGAAAAAGAACACACACCCTAAACCCTTAAACACCCCAAGCTATGGCTTGGCCAGGTGAAGTTTCCATTGGCACTGAGGCTGTGGTGCAGGCTTCACTGGCTGAAGTTGGGGTCGCTCTGGGGCCAGTGCCTCTAGGGATCCAACTAGTTCAATGTAGGCAATGTTTGCAGACGTTGGGGCCCAATGTAAGTATTATTTGTATAAAAGGAGGCCTAGAAGATTAGAGGTGTGTCAGGGGGAGACCAGCAATCCCAAAGGATCCTAAGTATCTATATGGTACAGTTAAGGGGGTACTATAGGGGTAATGTAGAGGTCATACAGAGTTCACGGCTTTGAGTACCTATATGGCACAAAGTAGACTTTCTATACTAGGAAGTATTAATATGGTTGAGGTCAGTATTCCCTATATAGGTTTTTAGGATCTTGTGGGAATGATCGTTTCATCTTCCTTTTTGCCAGAACCGCAGCGGTGAACAGAGTAATGTGGGGGACTACATAATTTTCACATGCTATTCTCCGAATCCTTGTGTAATTCTAAACCCTGAACCTGAATCCCTAAAGTATAGGGTAGACCAATAGGCCTCAACATGAGATTGGAAAACTATCACATGTAGAGGCCTCCTGAAGTAGACCGGCCCTGCACGTACTTCAACCCAACATGTACCATGATGCTCCTTCTACTTGGGAAGGACTTTGTTGACAGCTGAGGGGCCAGAGCCCTAAGTACTTGGATGATGAGCTGGGCAGGCATGAGGCCTTGCCAAGAGGGTCGGCAAGGTTGCTGCGCGCCTATGCGTTGCCCAAATGGGGACTGACAAGACCCAAACTGGCGGCCTGGGACCCGAACCATCCTACCCAGGAGGATCCAAGATTTTCATATGAGCTATAGTCGAAACTCCTTAAAGGGGGGTTATATAGGGGTGTATATAGGGACTACTATGGGGGTTATTAAGGGGGATACTAGGAGTTTAGACAATGGCTCATATGAAAGTCCATGTAATTAGTTCTTAGATCGGACGCAGGGACTACTTGATGTATAGTCGAACGGGATACAGTCAGTATAGGCCTCCCAACAGCTCTGCCAGGAAATGCTGGAGCTTGCAGATATTGGCGGCCGCATCTCTGAGTATTTGTTTCAAATGGCGACCTGGAAAGCACAAAGATTCGGATCCATGTCATTTCTTCATTCCCAGAGAGAGGAGAGTTACAATTTGCTGGCTACTTGTAGCCCATCTGATACGCCGCAACAATTTGAATACTGGGTCACGATCCAGAGCTCCTAGTTCAACAGTATCGAATTTCTTCAGCAAGCCCTGTCCCAAGACGGAGATCTGGTTTCGGTGCTTTGGTCTCAGGTTGTGGAGGGTTCGAGTTGTCCAGGGGGGTCCAAAATTATTTCGAAACGAGGTCCCCGCAAGAACCACCAAAAAAAAATCTAGTTAAGCTAAGGTCATTCTTGTTAATTACAACCTGCAGTGATTGCGTGGGGGGGAATACGTGGGAATATCATGTTGCATGCTTGTGGGTTCCTACTAGATGCGGGTTATGGGACCAGCGCGCGGGACGCACACCAGGTGGAGGGCCGCTTCTTGTCAGGGATTCTCCTGCAAACGGGTTGGTGTATGCAGCTAGCTTCAGCATGATTTTTGCGCAGACGCCCGAAAGGGTTTTAGTTTTTGGAAGGATTTTGCGCTTTGAGTTCTCATTGGAAGATAGGCATGAAGAACAAGTGCCTTCCCCTGATCTTCACTTCGTCAACCCGAAGGAGGCACCCGAGACCAGTTTGCAAAGTACCGTTGTGCATGGGGTGGACAATCACAGGGTTCTTGTAGAATATAGCCTACTTCGTTGGCATGCCACCCACAGCCGAATCTTTGGAGGCCCAAGTGGCTACCGAGCTATTGAGTCCCCATCATGTTGGGTGGCAGTTCCTCCAACAATCACGAAAGCTTGAAAAAACTTTCCACGTAGACACTGGAGGGCGACATATGAGATATTGTCTAGACTCCTTAAAGGGGGCTATATAGGGAAGTATTATCAGGGTTATTAGGGGGGTTACTAGGAGTTAAGCTATGGTACATATGAGAATCCTTTTGTGTGGAAGGCCGGGGGAGCGGCTGGGAGCACTCTAATACTTCCACCTGCCCCCAAAATAGCGTGCAACCCCAAGGAGGTCTTTCTAAGAATTAGATCCCCGAGATAAACCCATAATGACCCCTGTTTAATCTTTATATAATATCCCATATGGTTCTAGGGGATCGAAAACAGAGGATGAGCCACAATGCCCTTGCCCACTGGATCCAACCACTCATCCACTAAGCTTTCTAAAGGTTGATGGTCTCCACCATAAGACGGGTTTCAATTGTTCAGGGAATGTGTAGTGTGGTGTAACGGGGCTTCATGTAGGAAGTAAGTGAGCCACCAACCAAGTTAAAACCAGAAACCATGCCACAAGGACAGGGAGATGGTCCTTGAGAATGAGAAATGCCAGGAGCAGTTTGAGGTGGATGCGGCGTACGGCAAAGCTTGACATAGCCCTTTGGGGAGGGTGCAAGAGAGGCGGGGGCGGGTCAAGGACTCGGATTCCTTCATCAAGATTCTTATTCAGAAGACCCTTGGAAGGCCTCATTGGGGCTTGCTTGGGGGCACCCTAAAAAAAAAATAGCTTACATGCCCTGGGCCCGCACACCTCTTCCTCGCACCCCAAAGTCCAAATGGCCCCGTGGCTGTTCCGAAGGAACGTGCCGCACTGGTTGATTCCGAGCTTTCGCTACTTTTCAACGGTAATCCCAGTGAGAGGCAGTGACATGCACTGCCGCAGATTACTTAAGAATTGTGAGGCAGCACGCAGGATGTGGATTTGAAGGCGGATGCTTCGTATCAAGGCTCCCCAAACATTGGGTAGTATAAGTCTTTCAATGGCTTTCAGCTTTGAGAGGGATTTTCTAGAAACACGACTTTACCATCAGAAATTGCAAAACACATGGCAGCCCAGTGTCGTTGGCAGGGTGCGATTATGCTTCAGTTCTGCCCAAGACCATGCAACGTGGATACTGACATTGGGGCTGGGGCTGGGTTCTAAGGGCTTACCCACCTTGAGCCCTAAGTGTATAGCGGGCGTACAACACGGGATCATCAAATTTATGAATGTCCTTTCGGTCCCTTCTAGCCATAAGCCACACTACGTGAAGCCCAACATTGGAGGACCGCTTCAGGTACCATCTTACATCAGACTTGATGTCAGCAACGGCAACAAAGTTGTAGTCCTAGGAACTTGAATTACGTTCTTGGGCTTGTTCTGTGGTCTTGCAGCACCCAATGGTGATGTTGACCGCTGGTGCAGAACAGCGTTTAAGCCTTTCAACTGCAAATCGGCCTGATAGGCTTCGTATGTCCACGGAAAGGGGAACCGCGGCTTGCATGACGTCAGATAGATGGCCTTCATCGTTTCCCCCTCCAACCCCCCTCCCCAATGTTCAACACTCCCCTGTGCGTATAAGGCGAGACCCAATCCACACATACTGCGGTGTCAAACCACTTTACCTGCCTTCATTCACAGGATTCCTTATTATTCCACTTCGTATCGTGTGTTTACTCCTCGTTGGGTCTGTACTTGTATGTCAGGAGGGGAGGCTGCAACATGTGCCATGGTAATGTTCGGCCTAGGTGAGCTCAGCTTCCTGCAGGCAGGTCCTCATCTGGGTTGCTGTTAAGAAACTAAAATTAAGTTGCGATATTATGGGTTTATAGTAAATCACAGGGTTTCATATTTGCAGCAACTTAGTATAGTAAATAATAGGGTTCCCTTTTACAGCAACTTAGTCTAAGTGCTTTCAGAGCAACCCAGTCATGGTTATCTTCTCCCCGTATGCACTTCCTCTTAGTGAAGAGGGTTGATTATTAAGACAGCCTCAGATGGGCCTCAGACTCACTTCTTGGATGCAGCCTCTATTGCCTTTGAACAGCTCCAGAGCTGTCGACGCACAGACGGGAGACTTAGACGCAAAAGGCAGCAAATCAAAAAGGTTTATGTCGAACTTGTTCCCTGAGGGGTGTATTGCTGTTTTCTGCAAGGGCTCAAAGCACAACCACACTCAGCAAGAAGTAGACAGGGCGTGAAGTTCTCTGCATGATAAAAAAGGAAAATAGCATGGCTTCAAATTTTCTCCTTGTTGAAGGGATGCTTGTCGGGCCTAGTGGAGGAGGGAGAAGGGGAGAGAGGGAGAGAGACA